TCTCTCTCTCTCTCTCTCTCTCTCTCTCTCTCTCTCTCTCTCTCTCTCTCTCTCTCTCTCTCTCTCCCCCCCCCTCCCTCTCCCTCTCTCTCTCCCCCCCCGTGAAAATTTACCGGTTTTCCTATGGTTAGCGGAGAAGAGGGAGGGATGAGAGAAATTTTCGATTTCGAAATTAGTTAGTTAGGGAAATTTTTATACGGTTTCGAACGTATCGCGAGCCAACGAATCGAAGCAGAAAGAGTCGTTGCGGTATAATAATAATAATCGTCGAGAGAAATTTCATTGGACGAGAATTCTTGGGATCGGTGGAATTTTATTATTGGAATTGGACTGGATCGACGAGAGGAGGGAAGTTGAAATTGTTTAAATTGTTTAAATTGTTTAAATTGTTTATTGGTGAGGTATCGAGTCGAGTGTCGAGTGAGTTTTTCTAAATATTTCCTTTAATCGGGGGAGGAATCGGTTTGGCACGGGGATCGGTCCATTAAATGTCGGATATTGTGTCAGCGTGGCCGAGGGCGGTGCATGTATTTAATGTACGCCGGTCGAGCACCATCCCGCCTTGTTTGCCCTGGTAATTGATGTTTGACAAAATGAGGTGACGCGCATGCCGACAACGTGTTGTTTGCCGGGCCGCGGTTGGTGGTTGGTGGAAACCTTTTAAAGTTCACAGGACACTTACGCCACCTGCGCTCCTGCCTCGCAATTACGATCACGTTAAATACGTTAACTTTTAACTTTTTTAATCCCATCTCGTTGAATTGAAATTAATTTCGAAATCGTCGAAATTATTTAATCTCGAATCTTCATCCGTTGAAATTATTAAATTATTTTTTTAAGAAGAAGAAATATCTATTCTAGAAAAGAATTCTTCTAAACGAAACGAAAATAAATAATATACATCACGATTTTTCTTCTCGTGTTGTCATCCTCACGTATGGATAATATATTCTATCCCTCGAAACGAATAATAATAAAAAATATATATCACGATTTTTCTTCTCACTCGTGTTATCATTTTCCACGTATGGAGCGACAGTGACACAATAACAAGAGGATGTAGGAGGGATATAGAACAATTAAAGCGGAGAAAAATAAAAGAAATTCTATTCTATGAAAAATATTTTTTTTAAATTCTAAACAGAAATGTATCACGACTCCTTCCCTCGTATTATTATCCTCCATGTATGAAGGGATAACACGATGAAAAAAGGAATGTTGGAGAAAAGTGGAAGAAATTCTATTCTGTCAAAAATATTTTTTCAAAATTCCAAATAGAAGTATATTATGAAAAAATTGAAAACAGAAGTATATTATGATCTCTCTCTTCGTGTTATTACCCTCTACGTATGAAGCTACAATAAAAAAAGGACGAATGTTGTTACGTTGAAGAGGTATTGGGAAATTAAAACAGAAGAAATTCTATTTTACCAAAAAATTTTTTTCAAAATCCCGCGAAACGAAAATAGAGATATATCACGACTTTTCTCCTTATTTAGAGTTATTATCCCCCCCTCCGATGAGAAAA